AAAAAAAAAAGAAATTAGACCACAGAAACAAATTCTAAGCTGGGTACAGTGGCTCATGCCTATAATCCCAGCACTTTAGGAGGCCAAGGAAGGTGGATCATGAGGTCAGGAGTTCGAGACCAGCCTGGCCAAGATGGTGAAACCCGTCTCTACTAAAAATAAAAAAATTAGCTGGGTGCAGTGCTTTGCACCTATAATCCCAGCTACTCAGGAGGCTGAGGCAGGACAATCGCTTGAACCTGGGAGGCAGAGGTTGCAGTGAGCCGAGATCACGCCATTGCACTCGAGCCTGGGTGACAGAGTGAGACTCTGTCCCCCCCACAAAAAAGAAAGAAAAGAAACAAAATCTGAGCTCAAGTCTAACTCCACAGCCAACATTGATTCTATGGTTGTTATCTTCTTTGACAGCATGTTATAAATTTATATAGATCAGAAAAGAGAGCCATAGATTATGACACACCCAAGATCCAAAATGGGTTAGCTGGCTGAGTGTGTGGCTCACTCCTGTAATTGCGGCACTTTGGGAGGATGAGGTGGGAGGATCACTTGAGCCTAGGAATTCAAGACTAGCCTGGGCAAAATGGTGAGAACCCATGAATACAACCAATTTAAAAATTAGCCAAACATGGTGGTACGTGTCTGTAGACTCAGCTACTTGGGAGGCTGAAACAAGAGAATAGCTGCAGTAAAATGTGTTCATATCAATGCCCTCTAGCCTGACAGAGTGAGACCTTGTCTACAAACAAACAAAGAAAGCACTTAGAATTAGAACTATTTTTTCTCAGAATAATTACCTTAAAACCAAATTGAAGAAAACATATGTAGTTGTATGTGCAACCTCATTAATAATAAAATTACAGGCCAAGCGCAATGGCTCACATCTGTAATCCCAGCGCTTTGGGAGGCTGAGGTGGGTGGATCACCTGAGGTCAGGAGTTTGAGACCAGCATGGCCAACATGTTGAAACCCCGTCTCCACTAAAAATGCAAAAATTAGCTGGGTTTGGTGGCGGGCACCTATAATTCCAGCTACTCAGGAGGCTGAGGCAGGAGAATTGCTGGAATCCAGAGGCAGAGGTTGTAGTGAGCCAAGATCACGCCACTTCACTCAAGCCTGGGTGATAGAGACTCCGTCTCAAAACGAAATAAATAAATAAAATAAAATTATAGCTTTTTACAACTAAAACAAATTTGAAATGTCAAAACTCAAGAATGAACAGCTTTCTGAGTACAATGCTAATATTGCTATAGATTAATATAATATTTTAATTAAAAATTTTGGGAAATATATCTCAAGTGTCAAAAAGATCACATTATTTGATGTAGTAATATTATTTTTAGGAATTTATCCCAAGGAAATAAATCAAAAGCTATGTTAACAAAGGTAACGATTTGTGATATTATTTAAAAGTTGGAAACAAATATCCAGTACCTGGGAAATAATATTATAATAAATCAAGTTAAAAGACTATTTTTAGCTACTAAAAATAATTATGAAGAATATATAGCAAGATAGAAGCTAATTATGAATTAGTTGGAAAAAATGGACAAACAAATGTTTTTACACATATTATATTATAATCCCAACCAATCTGTCTATATAAAGCAAAAACTACTATGAACCAAGGTAGGAACAAAATGAAATATTTGCATAAGCAGTGAGTAATGAGTATATTATTTTTTCTTTTAATAATGTCCTCAACAGACCATGTGTGGTGGATGAGATCCCAGCACTCTGAGAGGCAGAGGTGGGCGAATCACCTGAGGTCACAAGTTCGAGACCAGCCTAGCCAACACAGGGAAACCCCATCTCTACTAAAAATACAAAAAATAAAATTAGCTGAGCATGGTAGTAATCCCAGCTACTTGGGAGGCTGAGGCAGGAGAATCGCTTGAATCTGGGAAGCGGAGGTTGCAGTGAGCTGAGATCACACCACTGGACTCCAGCCTAGGCAACAAGAGCGAAACTCTGTCTCAGAAAAAAATAAAATAAAACAATTTAAAAATAATAACGTCCTTAACTATTTTTGTCAGGTGTGTTGCAAGCATAAAAGGCTTACAAAACCACCAAAATCTAGACCAATAAGGGTAGGAAAAAAAAAAAAAAAAGGCTTACAAAATAAGTAGAGTTCCTATATAACCTTCACACAGTTTCCTTTAATGTTACCATCTTATCTTACAAAACCATAGCATAATTATCAAAACTGAGAAATTAACATTGGTATAACACTACCAACAGACTATTTGGATTTTAACATTTTTTTCCTTAATGTCATTTTTCTGTTCTAGGATCCAATACTGGATCTATACTGCATTTAGTCATCACATATGTCCTTAGTCTACTCCAACCTGTGACGTTTCTTCAATCTTTTCTTGTCTTTCATCACATTGTAAATCTCTTATTCTTAAACTTTCACCCAGTAATTTCACCACCCATTGGTGGATCATGCTTGTGGCAGTTACGACTGTGGTGTTCTAACTGTGATTTTCTAGTATTTTCATTTCTTGTACTACTTTAACTGGAATTTTTTAAGATGTCAGCCGAGCACGGTGGCTCGCACCTGTAATGTCAGCACTTTGGGAGTCCGAGGCAGGAGGATCATGAGGTCAAGAGATTGAGACCATCCTGGCCAACATGGTGAAAACCTGTCTCTACTAAAAATACAAAAATTAGCTGGGCATGGTGGCACGTGCCTATAGTCCCAGCTACTCAGGAGGCTGAGGCAGGAGAACCACTTGAACCTGGGAAGCGGAGGATGCAGTAAGCCAAGATCATGCCACTGCACTCTAGCCTGGGCAACAGAGTGAGACTCCATCTCAAAAAAGAAAAAAGAAAGAATAGTTGTCCTCTCTCAATTTTATTAATTTATTCAGTTATTTATACAAGTGTGATCTCATGGATATTAATTTTATTCTTTAGATTATAATGTAATACTATTATTTATTTTGCTGTTCAACATTATGTAGTCTTAATAATTTTTTTTAAAAATAGGTGCTTATAGAATGAGTGAATAGGCCAGGCAGCCGGGCATGGTGGCTCACACCTATAATCCCAACACTTTGGGAGGCCAAGGCTGGTGGATCACAAGGTAAGGAGTTGGAGACCAGCCTGACCAACATGGTGAAACCCCATCTCTACTAAAAATACAAAAATTAGCCGGGCGTGGTGGTTCATACCTGTAGTCCCAGCTACTCAGGAAGGTGAGGCAGGAAAATCAATTGAACCGAGGAGGCGGAGGTTGCAATGAGCCGAGATTGTGCCTCTGTACTCCAGCCTGAGTGACAGAGCAAGACTCTGTCTCAAAAGGCCAAAAAAAAAAAAAAAAAGGCCAGGCATGGTGGCTCCCACCTGTGATCCCGGCACTTTGGGAGGCTGAGGCAGGCGGATCACTTGAGGTCAAGACATCAAGACCAGCCTGGTCAACATGGAAAAACTCATCTCTACTAAAAAAAAATACAAAAATTAGCCAGGTGTGGTTGCACATGCCTGTAATCCCAGCTTCTTGGGAGTCTGGGGCAGAAGAGTAATTTGAACCCAGGAGGTAGAGATTGCAGTGAGCCAAGATTGTGTCAGACTCCATCACAAAACATCAACAACAAAACAGAGAATGAGTGAATAAATTGCATCTTGCATTCCAGGATACAGGAAAGAGAGAAAAAAGAAACAATTAAAGACACAGGTACCCATTATCACAGTGATCCAATTAGAAGACTGCTGTTTACCTGACATGAGCTTCTTTAGCAGTTTCTGGCTCTTGTTTGAGTCACGCTGTAAAATATCTTGTTCCTCTTGAGTACATACCTATAAAATAATAAGAGTAAGACATGTGATCCAATAGTTAAATTACATTGTTTTCTTGATATACCTAAAAGTAACCTCAAATTATACATTAGATGATGGCAAAATTAGACTACTGGTTTTTTGCTTTTTTTTTTTTTGAGAGAGAGAGAGAGAGAGAAAATCTCACTCTGTAGCCCAGGCTGGAGTACAGTAGCGAGATCTTGGCTCACTGCAACCTCTACCTCCTGTATCCCAGTTCAAGCAATTCTCCTAACTCAGCCTCCTAAGTAGCTGGGATTACAGGCACGAGCCACCATGCCCAGCTAATTTTTGTATGTTTTAGTACAGACGGGGTTTCACTATGTTGGCCAGTCTGGGCTTGAACTCCTGACCTTGTGATCTGCCCACCTTGGCCTCCCAAAGTTCTGGGATTACAGGCATGAGCCACCATGCCCGGCCACTATTGGTGTTTTTAATCCAAACACACCAATACTAAATGCAAATGAGTTTTTCTCCACATTTCTTTCCATTTCTTTCTTTTTTTTTTTTGAGATGGAGTTTCATTCGTTACCCAGGCTGGAGTGCAATGGCGTGATCTTGGCTCACCGCAATCTCCGCCTCCTGGGTTCAGGCAATTCTCCTGCCTCAACCACCTGAGTAGCTGGGATTACAGGCACGTGCCACCATGCCCAGCTAATGTTTTATATTTTTAGTAGAGATGGGGTTTCACCATGTTGACCAGGATGGTCTCGATCTCTTGACCTCGTGATCCACCCGCCTCGGCCTCCCAAAGTGCTGGGATTACAGGCTTGAGCCACCGCGCCTGGCCATTTCTTTCTTTTTTATGAGCCGAACAATAAACTTATACCAGCTGGGTACAGTGGCTCATGCTTGTAATCCCAGCACTTTGGGAGGTTGAGGTAGGTGGATCACGAGATCAGAAGTTCAAGACCAGCCTAACCAACATGGTGAAACCCTGTCTCTACTTAAAAATACAAAAATTAGCCAGGTGTGGTGGTGCACACCTGTAATCCCAGCTACCTGGGAAGCTGAGGCA